TCCAGGCATAACAGCGGCAAAACCACAATAGGTGTCTGCCACTTTAGAGGTGATGTAACTTACCCAAGACTGCCCATTCCCCCAGGCTGCAGCCAGCGTCACTGTCATATAAAAATAACTTACAGCCTTCCACCTTGTCATCCTCCCTTTTTCTGGTTCTCCCTCGGGTATTCAAGAATGTTCAAAACTGAATACTAGAGACCATCAAATATAAAAAACTGAACTTCAGGGTAGATCTGACCAGAAAGTCAAACCTATTCTTGGCTCTGCACAGCAGGGAGAGATTGCTTTACCTGTTATCCAACAGCTGTTGGGGCAGAAGTTCTGTGAAGAAACCCCCTCCCCACCTCCACCCCATGAACTGGGAACTCCAAGGACATTGACACCCCTGGGAAAGGTGATTGCAGCAACTCAGCATGTAGTATCATAAGATGGTGTGCTTCTGAGAACTTGTTTTGAGCCCTCCCTCCACCTGACCCAACAGTGTTCCCACCATCATCTGTAAAATATTAACTTTATGGGGCAGGAATGTGGTACTAGCCTCTGTCAGGATGGAGTTTACTTCTTTGAGGATTGAACTGAGGAGGCTACATTATGAATTTGAATAGGAGTGTCCTTTTTTTCTCCATCTACTTTTGAGATTGCAGTGTCACTTGAAGTAAAAACCAAAGACATGTCACCAAGGTTATGAGAAATTAAAAGCTTTCAACAAAGAAGATACCAAATCTGAGGAGAGAGTAGATGTTGTTGAATTTGAGTCTATATTTCTGAAGAATCACCTGGAATTTTACAAAATCCAAGAACACAAACATCATTTTTGTGTTTATATTAAGGAGTTACTGATTTAAAGCATGCAATTTGTATTTTAAACATTTTTCTTCTTTTTAATCTTGCATTGCGCCCAAAGAATACTAATAGTTACCAAATTGTTCTTTGGCAGAGTAACCTGACCCTCTCAGAACAGAAAAAAGAAAAGAAGTGTAATAGGATGTGATTGTAGCACAAGGCAAAGTTGAGTCCTCAACCCTGAGCAGATATTATCTAATGCAATGATGCTGACCCCGGTTCCCTGGGAGCATTTCTCTTCATTACATTGTATACATTACACAGCAACGAATGACAGTTTCCATGGCTCCTAATAAAGAGATTTTTCTCTTTATTACGGGAGCAAAGTGGGGCTTACAGAGACCGTCTGACTTATCTTTGAGCTTCTCAGCCTCATCATCTGTATGCCGTGGCTTCTCTCATCTGGTGCTGGTTATCTCAGGAATGAAGTATTCAGTCCCTAGAAGCAGGTTTCTTCCTACACTGTGAAAACAGGAGGACAAATACCCTGTTACATGTGCTAAAGATGGCTGAGCATCACTGCCTACAATCAGCTTTTCAGATCTACACTGAGTGCGTCCCTAGCAACTCCTGGCATAGCAAGGAACACGGATGTTTGTAAGGACACATCCCTGAGAGGCAGAAGTTCTAACAGCCTACTGACCTGGCTTCCTCATTCCAGTTTCTTTGTGCAGAGGCATTTGTTTTCCCAAGTCCTTCACCATGTGCTAACAATTAGACAAGGACTCTATAAATGAGTGTCACGGACGGTGGGTGGTGTGTTTTCTTAGTCCTTTATTGAAAACATATGGAGATGTTTATATATAAATAGAAAACAATAGAATGCTGCCATCATGTTAGCAGCAGCTAGCAAAATTCTACATGAACAGAAATTAAACAAGTCTCTACCTACGCCAGAATTCTGGTTTACTGACATCGGCACATCCTGTCTAATTCGGCTTGAAAGGATGTTTTATTATTTTGGGTTTTTTTATTCCTAGTTGGAAGGAAATTGTGAGGCAAGAGTTGTTTGGTTTTTGCTTTTGTTTTGTTTACTCCTTCCTTTGCCTAATCAGATTACTTAATTAGCAGGGATGATAAATTCGGCCCAAGTAGACCTTGTATCATGATCATGGAAAATAATTTTAAATGCCAGTTAAAATTTAAATTTGAAATACAGTCCCTGTATTTTTAAATTAAAAGTAGAGGACTGTGGCCTGACAGTTGGGAGAAAGCTTCAGCAGGCAGGGTAGTGAAGGGGTGGAAAGCTCTGGCTTTCGGAAGCAGACCTTTCCATTCGCATTCTGGCTGCTCCTCTTACTACCCGGGTAACTTCGGGAATGTTACGTGATGTTACTAAACCTCCACTGCTTCATCTGTGAAAGAAGAAATATTGCACTTGCCTCATAGCATGATTGTAAGCATTACAAGGGATAAGCTGGAAAGCCTTTCACACAATGTCTGGCACAAAGGCAGCACTGCAGAAATGCCTCCTATCATCACTGTAAGCAGCTAACTGGATGGTTTATGTGGAGGCCGTCCTTAGACATTTGAGAGGTCCAGATGCTTCGTAAGACCAGTAAGGACAACCTTATTAAGGACTAATTTTGCGCCAGGCTTTACAGTGAACTCTTTCTTACAACTCCATGAGCTGCTGCCATTATCATACCCATTTCAAAGAAGAAGAGACTAAGGTTACATAGACCACATGAAGACGCACAGCCAATGACTGATTAATCTGACCATCAAACCCAGTCTGAATAATTCCAAAGCCCATACTCTTTATCTCTCTGCTAGACTGGCTGCCACACATACCTTTAAAAGCTTATTTATATACATTATCCTCTGTGTTCCTAGCAACATCCTGGAACATTGTACAGAAGCATTCACAAACTATGGAGCCCCCTGTCCCTGGGACATCTGCTCATTTGCAGTTGAAGACGGCCAAGAAGTCCTTAATGCACATTTTGTGAGGGGCCCTGACAAGTTCGACTCATGCAGCCACTTTCACTTTGACCCACAAAGGTCTTTCCTTTGAAGGTGCTCAAAGCTCCATGTGCCCAGGCTCATTATTCTCATTAGAAGAGAGCATTTGTCCCACTCTACAAGATGGAGAAGCCAGAGGCCAAGATGGCATGACTTGGGGACAGAGGGAGAAAACCAGTCACCACCCCCCTTGGGAACCCGGCAGAGAACAGAACAGAGTGGGTCCAGGGCTGTGTCCACCTCACCAGATGGCTCCATATGTTGGGTCGGTCTGACAGCCAAACTGCTACCTAGCCTCACTTCAACCTAAATAGTGCAAGATCAACAGTGCTTTGTCTAATATTCTTGTTGGAAAGATGGGATCTGCCTGCAGTAGGGGAACCCTCACTAATATAAGATCATCCAATTTTGTTTTCATTTGCAGATTATCGTGATGTTTCTATTCTCCTTTTTACACGAGATCAAGTTTGGGGTGGAGAGTAGCAGGGCATATAAAGGGAGAAAGTTAGGACTGCCAAACGACGTGTCAACTTCCTGACTTAGCGCCTGTGTGCTAGTTACACAAACGAGTCCTGAATGTGAGACATCAATGCAAATATTTTGCATATTATTAACTTGAATGATGCTGCTGTTGTGAGGTAGCCACAGCTGAAAGTGGACATGACACTTTTTATTATAAATGCCTCAGGTCTTTCTCTGAAAGTTACCATGAAGACAGAAACCCCTTGGAAATGATAGTGAAAGCATGAGAAGACTTCTGCTTTGTTAACTTTCTCAGTCATTGACAATGACAGCAGCAACGTGATGGTGTCCCAGGGCCCCCCCCATCAGTCCTATAGATGCTGGCAACATCCTTCTTTAGAATCCAGCACTGTTCTTGTCCTTGAAACAACAGTATACTTCCATGGCAAGTTAGGAAATCAGTGTAAAAAGGAATCTGTTCTAGGAAAAAAAAATGCAACCCTCAAATTGTTACATAAGTGAAAAACCATTTGAATTCCTAATAAGCCTTCCTTATCACTCCATCCCATGCTGGTGATGGCAGGGTGGAGTCCTGGGAAGCAGAGGATTCCAGACCCAGGCTCTACCATTTGCCAGCTGTGTGACTTTAAGCAAATCACTTGACCTCTCTAATCCTCAGTTCCTTTTCTGTAAAACAGCAATAACCATAAAGCCGCTTTGTCTACTTTATGGGTTCGAGAAACAGATAAATGGAGATTGCAAGTATGAAATCCCTCTGGAAGCTCTGTGCAAATATTATTATTGATTTTTACTTGTTGAGTAGTAAGGAATGACTAGCAGTGCCGTTCATTGATAGCGTGGGAATAACTCAACCTGGTGGTTGGTAGTGGATCAGTCTTAGAGAAGTGAATGGCTCCTGGGAAGCAGATAGGCCAATGGTAAGGGCCTTAAACTTGCGAGTCTAGGGCTCTGTAGCAGTTTAGTTGTACAGAATCTCCTATTCTAAGCTCTTGCAGCAACATTATAGGCTACGTGAAATCACTGTGTGCTTTCTTAGCAGACATCATTTGGGAAGCCTTCACAAACTAGTGGCCTGACAGAGTTGTCAAGGTTTCCAGTGCTATGTACACCAGCAAGAGCAGTGTTTCATGTGTCGTCCTACTGCCTTCCTCCCAGGAGACTCAACAGATGGAATAACAACGTCAGAAACCCAAGACAACCTGTCCGTTTGATGCCTAGAAACTTTGGCAGAAGTCACAATTAAAATCAGATCAAATACCTCTTTAGAGGAAAGAGGTACAGAGAAATAGGTCCTAAGGGTACACTTTCTTTTGTCTGAGCTTGACTACCACTATCTGGGGATACCTACCACGTAGGAGGAATTATATCCCAGTACACACTAGGCATTTGAGAAAATTGGTTGAAAGACTGTGATTGCTAGTAGAAAATAATTGAGTGACTCCGATATGAGGCTTTATATTTCCTTTCATTATATTTTTTAAGTCCTTCCAAGTCAACTTGAGTTTGGCAAATCCCAGAATGAGTAATTGTACATCTCAGAACGCTTAGATAATATGCAGACCAGACCCTAGGTCAGGCAGAGCGGCATGTGTTTTGGCAAGAACCGCCTAGGAGATAAAGCATTTGATTATTGTTGTTTGATAGTTCCCAAGGAGAAGGCAACAAAGAAACAGATAATGGACCAAATACTTTTCTCTCTTGTTTAGGCAAATATTTCCAACTACAGCCTGGTGATGGAGTCTGATGAGGGAACCTTCTTACCCTCTGGGCTGCAATTCACTGGCAGTGAGAAGGCCAGGGCCATCATGGAGGAGGTCATGAGGCTGCTGCAGCCGGTCAATGTCACACAGGTCTTTAGGACTGGAGAAGGGACAGACATTAACTTCTGGATCCAAGCTGGAGTGCCTGGTAAGACCAAAAAAAGAAGTCGGATAAAGATGCTATTCAAACTTGTCACAGCAATACCAATAGGCCAGTTAATATGTGGAAACTCTAAACTTTTGTCTACAATTTATAGTCTGATGATTTCCAGACTTGGAATAATAATATTCATTTGTGTTTGTTTACCCATTTGTCTTCTTTTTCTAAATAATAAGTTTCTCACTCCCAGAAATTCTGCTTTAATGATTCTGGGATAGGGCCTACAAATCTGTTTTTGGTTTTGGTTATTTTTTTAACAGGTATCTGAATGGTGATCTCATGACCAAAATTTGAGGAATGGAGTACTGTTTATTATTATTACTTATTATTATTACTACTGATATGCTTCTAGTTTTGGTTCTGTGCTAGGAAATCTTCTCTGACCCAAATAATTTCCTACCCAAGTACCATGGTATCTGAAATTTTACCAGTAGAGCTTTATTCTTTGAGGGTTGGGTGCTTCCTACTGATCATTTTTTTCTTAGTGAAGTCTCTTAGAAGAGATTGGACTAAACTACTTTTCCCTGATCAGTGATTTATTAGGTTGATATTTTTAAGACAAATCCTGGGGAGGGGTGAACTTACGGAATAGGAGTAGGCCTCAGGAGGTCCCAGGACTACAAAATAGAATAATCTTAGAGGACAAACTTACACTACTTCACAAATTTGTCCTAGACTGGCCACGGGAGAGGGTTATCGATGATATTAAGCATCTATGACCAGAACCTGTTCCGTCATTATATCCATAATCAAAAGCATTGTTAAAGGATTTTTAACAGATTTTTAAAATTTAAACTTTAAATTTTAAAATTTATAGATTTTTCTATATTTGTATTATGTCAATAGGAAGTCTGCCTTTTCAGTAGTTTTAACATTACTGTTTCCAGAACCATTTCTGTGGCTACAAAACATTTCACAGATTAAAAAACAAAACAAAACAAACAAAAAACCAAAACAAAACAAATCTCTCCCTAGATCCACCCTACTTCATTTCCCCCAGCCTACAAAGTAGATTTTACCAATAGCATACTGCGTGGATATAAGACTTTTTAAAAGCTTATTCTTGAGATAGTGTAGATTTTTTAAAGCATATTTTAGGTTTTAAGTTTTATAATAATCTTTCATAACTAAAAATAGAAGGAGCTCTCCTTTATTCTAACACAAGGACCTAAATTCTCTTCAATAGTATGTGTATGTTTTAACCATATTTTGAAATATCTTAAAACAGCCTTTGCATTTAGGGTACTGTGCATCATATGGACAGATCTGAGACTCCCTACATATCTGTCTGTCATTTTTACTCATGATCAAGGTGTAAGGGAAGGGAATTTGCCCTTTTAAACTGTATGGAATAATTGGCTTGAATTCTAGATTTTTCCTGAGCCATAATTTTTTTCAATAGGAGTCTTCTTAAAAATTGAGAAAATCTGAGTTAGTTTGCAGGGTAGTAGCTGTGTGGAAAAGACTGACAGACTGTGGGTGAACTGGAGTGGAGAAGGGGGGCGCAGAGGAGGAGCTGAAACCAAAAACACAGGTAGAACAAAGAAACTGGTACTCACTGCTCCGAGGGATTGTGTGCTTTTGTTGCACTGGATAGTTGAGAATTTGCTCTAGCTTTTTCCCTCCCATGTAGATATTCATAAGAATGGTTCTGTTTGGAATTAGCAAGTTGATGTGATTTTCTTCACAAAGGTAGAGGCCTTTTCCCTCTTGCCAAGGTGAGGTCAGATCTGATCACCAGCTAATTAGAGGGGAGTGGGGAATATGAGCCCCATTATGGTTTCTTGATAAATAATACAATTTACAGTTTGCTGAGTTCCTGTTACTGATCAGGCACTCCGTGTGGCTTTTGCAGACATTCTTTTTTATCCATTCAGCCATCCTAAGAGGAAGGTACAATTATCCCTGTTTTGCTATTGAAGAATCGGATTCAGAGGGACTAAATAACTTAGTCAAAGCTATCCTGCTCTTAAAGGGCAGAAGTTACCCTGAGAACAGGCCACTTTGTTTTCAAGGCTGGTGGCCCTTTTCCCACAATGTGCAACAACACAGGGGAGTCTGGAATGCTGAGATGGTCCTCCAAATCTATGGCAGTGTCTGAAATGTTTGTCTTACTCAGCTCTTGCTTATGCAAAGGATTTCAGTACATTCCTGCTCCAGAAAAATTTACCCCTGGGGAAAGGAGTTTGTTATTGTAAATAACTACTTATTTCTTCTCACATTCTTTATTCCACTCCCCTCTGTACCTCCATAGATCAGGAACGTTTGTAAAAAGTCAGTGGTTCAATTTGACTGCAGCTAATGTTTCTTGGAATTCTTTTTAATTTCTTTTAGGATACTATAAGATGGAACCAAATTATTGCTGCCTTCCCCTATTACCATTGAGCTATCTTTTGATATTTCAAATATGAGCTATTTCTGGAAGAAATAATAGAACTGTTTATGTTGTATCTCTTGTAACCTATTGAAAATTTCAGGAACTTTTGAAAAAGGTAAAGAACCATAGTTAAACAGAAAAAGAAAATAAAAATATACCAGCTGTGTACCCTGTGTTCCTGAAAACTGGCACGTTGTAGTAGCTTAAACCTAAAGATGGAATTAGAAATACTAATTAGGTTACGATTTACATAACTGCTCATCTAACTTTTCAAAAATGAATGAGAAATAATGTTCCCAAAAAAAGAATGTTCCCCCCCAAAATATTGTTCCCCAAAAGAGAAATAATGTTCCCAGACTTCTCTTCTTTCTCTTCTTCTTTCCTGTCCTCCAATGATTCAATAAATGTTTATTGAGTCCCTATTGTGTCCTAGGCCTATCAAATTTCTGTAGCCTGCTGGCTGGTCCCCAGTTTTTTTGCATGTTCTGTGTGTAGTCAGTAATGAGATACTAATTAAGAACACAGAATCAAAATTCAATATGTCTTCATTAATTATAAAAGCCAAGTAGATTGATTGATGAAAGTTCATCTTTGGAAAGGAGAGATGCTGTCATTCATCAGTCTAGGTGATGTCCATAACAGACATGATAACTATCAATATAAGTATAAGGCTTTGGGGTGATGCTTTTTTTTTTTTTTTTAAAGATTTTATTTGTGTACTTGACAGGGACAGAGATCACAAGTAGGCAGAGAGGCAGGCAGAGAGAGTGGGGGGGAAGCAGGCTCCCTGCTGAGCAGAGAGCCCAATACAGAGCTTGATCCCAGGACCCTGAGATCATGACCTGAGCCGAAGGCAGAGGCTTAACCCTCTGAGCCACCCAGGCGCCCCTGGGAGTGATGCTTTTTAAAAGAAAAGTATCTTAGATATATACATATATATTTTTTTGTTGCAAAATATATTTTTTTACTAGATATTTTTATACTCCAGCATCTCCCGTGGCCACTTTCTTCCATACTTCTTCCTATTCTTCCCCTCCAAATCCCCTCTCTTAAGGCTCACTCTATATTCATCAGTGTCCGTGAATCCTTCCTTAATAGCTCATGACACCCTTTTGCTTTTCTAAATTCTAAAACACTTCTGTGTCCCACAATCTGGCATTTGAATTACACACTAATATTGTTCTTGGATTACTAGGAGTATCCAGTGATCAATTCTTTGAGGTTAAGGTCAATGGTTTCTATATAGCTTCCTCTATAGTTCTTAGTTTAATTTTGAGAAACATTTAAATTCTTATAAATCTGACATGAGAGGAGAAAACACAAACACAGAAATAAATATTTTTTCAACAAGCTTTGGGTCCCTCATATTAAGATTGTGGACAAAATACAGGATGCTGAGAAAAGAAATATAAAGGTAGAAAAAAATATTGGAAGAATGATATAAATTAGGGAGGCTAGAACAGCTAGGATTATTTCCATTAAAGGAATAAAAACTGAGAGAAGATGCTGAATAATATCTTCTAGTAATTTAATGTTTCTCCTGCCTAAAATGGTAAACAGTTGTTTTCTGACTCTTTCAAAGGCAACACGAGCATGACTGGAGTAGTCTAAGAGGGATTTAGGTTAGTCTCTATTTGAAAACTCCAGATAGCAGAAAGGTTTTACATGTCAAATGTTAGCCTAATTCTCTGATTATGAACTTCAGGTGAGAATGAGAAGAGTCTGTTTCACCCTGAATATGTCAGTAAGGAGATATAATCCATGTTTTCCAGATGTCCTCACATGCATCCTTCTTGAACATCTTCTTTCTTTAGAAACTCTAATGAGAAAAATTATATATTCTCTTAATGTGACCTGCGAGAGTGAGCCCACCCTGATTCTGTATCTACCAATAAGAGTTTCCTTGTCTGCTTCAGAATCTGAGAGTCAACCTTTTCCTAATGTTGTTGGCATGTGGTAGACAGTGTGCTGGAAAGAATTAGAGAGTGTTTTCTGGCTTTTGACTTCTAGCTGCATGTGCTATCTTAGGCAAATGATGTAATTTTTCTCAGCCCACACTCATTTTTTTTTAATTGAAGTATAATTGACACATGTTATGTTGGTTTTAGGTGCAAAGTTGGTAATTTAACAAGTCTATATATTATGCTACCTCCATAATGGATCTGTCACCATACGATTCTATTATAATACCATTGACTATATTCACTACGCTGTGCCTTCCATCTCCATGACTTACTTACTCCATAACTGCGAGCCTGCACCTCCCATTCCCCTTCACCCATTTTGCTCATTCTTCCAGCCCCCTTCCCTCCAGCAGCCACCAGTTCTCTATATTTATGGGTCTTTTTCTGCTTTGTTTCTTCTTTTGTTTTGTTTTTTAGGTTGCACATACAAGTGAAACCATGTAGTATTTGTCTTTCTGACTGACTTATTTCACTTAGCATAATACCTGCTAGGTCCATTCATGTTGTTGCAAATGACAAGTCCTCATTCTTTTTATGGCTGAGTAGAATTCCTGTGTGTGTGTGTGTGTGTGTGTGTGTGTGTGTGTGTGTGTGTGTAGTATGTCTTCTATATTCATTCATGTACTGATGGGCACCTAGGCCACTTC